CCAAGCTGCAGGAGTAGGTAGGTTAATGTGCAAGTGGGATTTTAGTAACGGGAAACACTTTGTATCTGTAGTCTGATAAGAACTCAAAGTAACGGAAATCCGATGCTCCATATTTGTCCATCCTTTGTAATTAATTAAGGAAATAAAAAAATTCCTAGCTTCAAAATTTCATGCTTCCACCTAACACAAATAATGCACACTTGTGAATATCCTAAATACTGCTCTCTTTGTAAACAAATATAAGAGTGTTTAGATCAGTACGCTCTTATATCTTTGAATATTATGATACTTAAAGGAAACCAAAACAAAAACATTTCATAGCTCAGTTGGTTAGAGCACCCGTTTAGCGGGAGGTCTTGATTTTTCAACTCTCAATAAAAGCATATTCCTTTGAGAAAAGTATATTTTTAGTCCCTCAACTTTTGATAGAGTCTAGATTTGGTCCTTTAACTATGAAACTGGACAAGTTGCACCTATAATTCTTCAAACCGGTCAAGTTTCGTCCCTTAATCTGAAAGAAGCGGTATCCATGCCGAGTCAACATGGTTTTGACCAGTCATTGTTCACTGGGCAGTATCTCTCTCTCTCTCTTCTTTGTCCCTCTCATGGCATTTTGACGAGCACTTGCAGCGAGCCTGCATTTCCATCACCTCGTTGGCTGCACTTGCACCCCCTGCCATCGGAGCCCAGCCACAGCGCCTCCGTGGCAACCGGCGGCTCTGCATGCAGGGCGCTTGCATCATTCAGGGGAGCAACGTTGCTCTGGACGATGCGTCTAGCTGATCGATTCGCCCACCCTCTTGGACATGCACGTACATGACCTTTATCGTTTCGATCCGTTCTGGCAACAACAGACGAGTAGCACACGTACTCTACGCATGTCATGAGTTATTGCATGCGCACAAAAACTTGCCGTCCATGTTCATGTTGAAGGGAGTGACTATTGAGCCGTGCGCAAGCTCCATGGCGCTTCGTCATTGTCCATTCCCGCGGCCTGGCCAGAGTGGCGCGTGGTGCGCTCAGCCAGAACTATCGATGTGGCTACCGGTGCACGTGTGTGGGATCCGGCAGGACCAGCAGCATCCGCACCGCAGGGGACAAGCCCCAGTCAGCCCGAGATGAGCTTGACCGTTGTGGGGACCATGGCACCACGGTGACTCGCTCGCCCCGGCGAGTCGCGTGAATTAGGCAGTGACGACCCGCGCCTCGCTGGCTTCTTCTGCACACACACCGTGAAGGTGGCGAGGACAGGTGCCATGGCGGCGGAGGGACGCGTCGT